ATAAAATAGTTATACACCAAATTTAGTATCTAAAGAACGACTTTGTCAGACTATTGACATATTATTATCCATGCAAAATTCTGATGGTGGGTTTGCGAGTTATGAGCGTATTAGAGGTTCAAAATTTATGGAATGGTTAAATTCTGCGGAACTTTTTGGAAATGTAATGATTGAATATAATTATCCAGAATGTACATCTAGTGTTCTAAATGCTTTAAATACTTTCCAAAAATGGTATCCGGATTATAGGGCTACTGAAATAGAGTAATTATTTTTTCTTTGTAAAATTTATAAATATGTAATTTATTTATAAATTTATTCCTTTGTTATTAGACAAGTTACTAAAGAAGCAATTCAATACCTATATAATTCTCAAGCTAAAAATGGAGGTTGGTATGGTTCTTGGGCTATTTGTTTCACATATGCTACCATGTTTGTTATACAATGTCTAAAAAATTATGGAGAAACATATGAAAATAGGTATTATATATAAAAATTAATCTTTGAGTTATGGAAGAAATAAGTTAGCTTACTAAATAACCATGCCTATTAGTCAGGTAGTTAAAAAAGGATGTGACTTTTTAATTTCTAAACAAAACGAGGACGGTGGTTGGGGTGAATCCTATAAAGTTAATATTATTATATTAATGTTTTATTATATTCATAATATTTAAGATTATTTATTTTTTTATTTCTTTTATAAACAGTCATGTGATGCAGAAACTTATATATATCACAAAAATTCACAAGTTGTGAATACAGCTTATGCATTGCTTGCTTTAATGGCAGGTAAATACCCAAATGAAAAACCTATTCGACATGGTATCCAGGTATATAAATTAATTTTACTAAAGAGTAGCACACTCATTTTTTAATGAAAATTTATATATATATTTATATCGAATTAAATCCATCTTTTGCAGCTTCTTATATCACGACAACTGCCAACTGGAGAATGGAAACAAGAAGATATAGAAGGAGTATTTAGTAAAAATATGGCAGTTAACTATCCAAATTATAAATTTATTTTTCCTATTTGGGCGTTGGGCATGTATGCCAAAATTTATAACAATCCTATAATTTTTTAAGAATATATATTGCTTAGTATACACGTAATATTAGCTTTTAACATTTTTAGATTGTTAATTTTTTATATTATATATTCTAGAAAATATAAAATATATCTTTTTAATAATAATAATAATAATAATTAAATATTTTATTTTATATATAGTAAAGTATCAATTTTTTGAAAATTTCTTAACCCACACATGGTGTATATATACACTTAATAAAAAAAACAATTTTTTTAACTTTAGGGTTAGAGTAAGGCCTTGGATTTTAGCAAGGGCTTATATATAATTTATGCAAAATTTACCAAGGAATTTTTACTTAGAGCTCCAAAGGTGGTTTTCTATTTTTTTTTTTTACAAAAAATTACAACTGATCTTAAGTTTTTCTAATACTTTGTCACTATGTGTACTGTGCATACATATACACATAACATTATTTATTTATTCGAGTACTGTATGCGTAATGGGTTTTGGCACAAAATCCCGACAACGAAATACCCAAAAACAAAAATCCCGACTAACATTATGCTAACTCTAACCCTAATGCGGGCTAATCTGTCGGGGTTTCGTTTGTCGGGATTTTAAATAGATACCATATGTAATGTAAATTGCATCTTCAAGGTATAGATCAAAAAAATATAAATACAACATGCATACGTCAAAATGTGTTTTTTAGAGGAATATGCGCAGATAGATTTGCGCTAATAGATAACTCGTACAAGGAGGTTCCCAAATTTCCGAAAATTTTGGGATTTTCCTGTAAAAAATCTAAAAAAGATTTGCGCAAAATAGTGTTACCGGCGGAAATATCAACCAACAAACAACAGCAAAATGATCCGACTCTGTCGGTCCGGAATCAGGTTT